TACCATTCACGAGAATAGAGACAAAAACAGGAAGGGACTCCTTGACCCCACAAGGCCTGTTGACGTCCCTAGTATTATCCATACTTTTTATCTTAATAAAAGACGATATAGATAGATTGTTTCCAAAAATAAAGAAGAATTTGATACATTAAGTGAGGGTCAATTGCATTAGATTTGAAACAAGCTGTTTGAATAACACAATAAGATTGGTACAAGATTGCTATAATTTTGTGAAATCATCTTAGGTGATATAAATGTTATTGAAAACTATTTTGAATAATTTTATATTTTTTATTTTTTAATTTAGATTTGTGATAAAATTAGTTTATTAAAAGTGATTTTTATTAATATTTTTTTAAAGTTTTAGTAGTTAATTGCAATTCAAAATATTAAGAGTGATTTTTTAAATTTATAAAAATTAAGTTGTTAAATATTAAATGAATATTTTGTCTTAAAATAAAAATAATTTTCATTTTCAAAAATATATTAATAAAATTATCTATTTTTGTGATGAGTATGAAAAGAAATATCATTTTTTAAAAGAGGAAAGGCAAAGTAAAAAGTAAAATTTTTATTTTAATACGTAAAAGTAGAACTTTTAACTCACTTGAACTTAAGTCCTTAAATTTAGTTAGTGAATTAGATCTAGTAAACTGATTCTATTAATTAAATTTTCTTGAATATAATAAAGTGACAAGGAGGTATGCTTTAAAACTTATTAAATTATTTAAAAAAAATTAATTTTTAAATATATAAAAATAAATTTGAGTTATTGTGGAGTAATTAATCTTTTTTAAAGTTAGAATTAAAAAAAAAAACTATCGTTTTACGGTATGATTTTTTATGTTTTTGCAGTCAAACCGCCTTCCGTTAAATACTTTTAAGCAATTAAGCTACGCACTTCGAATTTCAGAACACTTTTTCTTTATTAAAAAAATGCGGACGTAAGTCGCGCCACTTGGCCTTTAATCTGAGCCGCACATCGTGAGGGCACTTTCGGTATTTCAACAAAACCCATCTTTTCTACTTTCTAAAGAAACACCTCTTCCTCCTCCTTACGAAACCCCGCACCAGAACCAGTGAACTCAACGAGCGCCAGAGCGAAACCCTAAATTAATAACTCTCATCTGTAAAATTTCCCTAAATTAGAACGAAAACAATAAATCCAACCGAATTTAATTTCCTCCCTCCTAGTGAATCCGGTTTCCGGCATTTGTTATTGCCGTCGTGTTCTTTCTCTTATTTTTGGATGCATTTGGTTTGCGTTCTTTTTTGTTTTCAGGAAATTGGAAACGTAGAAAACCTGTACTTGGTTGAAGCAGAGTTCTAGAGCAGTATCTATTTAGCGTCTTTTTCTTGATGTGTTTTTGCTTTTCTGCTTTGCTCTAATGGTGGGTTTTGTGTGTTGAAATTAGGGTGTCAAATTTTTACATCTTTACAGTTAAGGAAGTTTCGGTCTGTTTCGAGGCAAATTTCCGGTGAGTAATTTTGGCATCGTTGTTAATTTTACGGGTTTATTGCAATTCCCTGTTTTTGTTTAATTTTTTTAAATATTTCTGGCATTTTAAGGTTAGATTTTTGTTTTATTAGTATGTTTCCTTGGTTGCATTACATTTTGTTTTTTTTGAACAATTTAGGAGTCAGGTTGTGAAAGTGTTTGGTCCGTTGAATAATTTCTGTCAGATTTATGTGTTAATTTTTTTGGGTATTGGGGTTTTTTCGACAATGAATCTTTTTAGAAGTATTTAAGAATTTCCTAGTTTGGTTTTGATTCAAGCAATTTCTGGGCTTTAATTATGATTGTAGTTTTACTTTGTGATTTTCTTCTAACATTCCAACTCAATTGTTGTCTCATTTTTGCCCTTATGAGAGCACGATTGAGCTCATGTTGCAATTAACTTGTTTTCTTGCCCATTCTTCTTCCTATTTGCACGTTTTACTGCATCTTTTTTTTGGTTCGTGTACTTTTCTAAAGTGTCTGACTGTGCAGGGAATATAATATTGTGATCAGGGTTTGAAGGATAGCAGTTGGAAAGGATGTCCTCTCCATATCCAATACTTGGCAATCGACCGATTGATCAATGGAAGGTTACAGAGTTGAAAGAAGAGCTTAAGAAGCGAAAATTGACAACCTCAGGGTTGAAACTAGATTTGATAAAACGATTGGATGAAGCCCTTCGCATTGAAAGGGAAACTGCTGAAAAGGATGTGGATAACAGTCTTAATCATGACCCCAAACCCATAGTTGAGGCTGAATGTGGCCAAACAACTGAGACAGTTGAAAGTGCTGTGGATCATGGTGGTAACAAGATTGAGATAGATAGTAAGGCTAAGGTTCAAGTTGGAATTAACAATAGTGCTGCTCCTGCCTTTGGGCAGGTGGACAGTCAAGGGGACAAATCAGGTGGTAGCAATACTGCTGTGGTTGAACAAGAGCCAGTTATGCACCCAACTATTCTGGATACTAATATTAAAGTCACTGAGACTGTGGTTGTTGAGACCGTAGTTTCTGATGTAGCATTGAGCACACAGGATACACAGAACCCTGGAAGCCAGGAAGATCATAAGAGTTCAAAGTCCCAGCTAGAGAATTTGCATCTAAGGCTCCAGCTGGCAGACGAGGATCCAAAGCTACAGCTGGCAGACAAGGATCCAAAGACGCAGGTGGAGAGTGAGGATTCAAAGCCCGAGCTGGAGGATGAGGGTTTGGAGCCTTCACACAGTGATGTTGTGTGTGATTCTGCTCTGAACAACCAGGTACCTGAGGTCAGCCCTAGTTTAGGGTTCCAAGTAAAATCTGATTCTATTTCTGCTGATTCTGTGTCAATTAATGAAAATATTGAACTAAAGGATAATATAATTGCCGATAATGTCAAATTAGAGCTAGATATTTTTAAGCCAGATATGGTGGACCCATCATCCAGAAGTGTTGTCCCAGTTAGTGGTGAAGCACATCCCATGGATTTGGAAGAGCCACTTGAGAAGGAAGCATCTGTTGAAGAGAGAGATGACAAGAATACTACAAATTCAGACCTGATCAAGAAAAATGATTGTGAGGATTTGGATTATTCGGAAAAGTTAAATTTAGACAGAAGTTCTGGTGATGAGTCTATGGAGGAAGATGTTCTTGAGTTGAAGCAAATTGATTCCAAGTCTAATACTGAAGAAGTGGGAGATATGATTGATAAAAATCTGCGAGAAGAAGTTCATGTAGATGTTGTGGGTGATGATTTGTCTGCTGAGAAAATGGACATCCTTATTGAGAATAAGAGTCACCCTGTTGAAAAAAAAAGGCTTCAAGGTAAGCATTGCACGCAGCCTTTATGGGTCTATGCCTTTGGGTTACTGTGATTAGCTGCATGGTTCTGTTCTTCTAATTTAATGTCACTAATTCTGAAGCCAAGATAATTGGATATTGTTTTGAGAGACATACTTTATTGTTAATTTCAAATGTTGTTCTTTAAGTGTATAGTTTTGTTCAAATGCCTTGCACAGAAAATTTTGAATGCGGTTTTTGGGTGGGTATGTGATTAAGCGATTTACATGTTATTACAAATGGTCTGTAATAAATTGAACCACAACCTTTTTGGTTGATAGTCTTTTTGCTAGAAAGTTGCTACAATCTGTTCGTTGATTTATTAAAGCTGTCTGGACAATGGATTTTCTGGGTACATGTCTCAATTTTAAGTTCGCTTTGTTGTTAAGAGATGAGTTTGGTGATTATAATTGATTAATGGGAATGATTGGAAGTTTGAAAGCTTTATAATTGGGGTAGTTTTTACCTGGCTTGCTGTGGTTACAGATCAAGAAGCTGTTGGAAACAATGAACCTTCTAAAAGACGCAGATGGAACTCTGAAAAAATAAGAGTTCCAGAGCAGCCAAGCCCAAACCATACACCAACTACCACACATAAACTTGCATTTCAGCCTGCTGCTTTAAAACGCAACTTCTCTAGATCTGATTCCACAGCTAGCAATGATGCTTCTAAAGAACAAGCTGGTAAGTTGTCTTCTTTCAGTTGGTTCTATAGGGAGTGTATTTATTGTTAATTAACATCTGTGTGATCCTTCTTGCTTTTGCAGTTCCACCATCTCAGAAACCTCCAACGACTTCTTTGAGGATTGATCGCTTTTTGCGTCCGTTTACCTTGAAAGCTGTGCAAGAGCTTTTAGGTAAAACTGGGAACGTCACCAGTTTCTGGATGGATCAGATCAAGACCCATTGCTATGTTACTGTAAGTCTTGTTTCTCTTTGTCTGAATCCTTTCTAATGGTACCAGGTCCTTGGAGCCATTTTTATCAGTGGATTTTTGTTGATTTATTCATCTGAGTTTTGGATCCTTGGACTAAATCATCTTGCTTGGGAATGCAGTATTCCTCAGTGGAAGAAGCCATAGAGACACGTAATGCCATTTATAACCTACAATGGCCACCCAATGGCGGACAACTTTTAGTTGCTGAGTTTGTTGATCCTCAGGAAGTAAAAATGCGTTTGGAGGCTCTGCCTCAGACTCCAAGTACACCTGGCGCTTCTAAAACTGCTGTTCCTCCATCTCAATCTACTAAGCAGCCTGAGCCCTTGCCTCGTCAGCAGGTTTCTAGGCAGCAGCTTCCACCCCCTTCTGCTCTTCCACCTCCACCACCCTTGTCTAGCCCATCATCAGTAAGAGAACGACTTTCTTTTCCGCCGCCGCCTCCGGAGAAAATAGATCCTCCTATTGTAACTTTGGATGACCTGTTTCAGAAAACCAAAGCAACTCCTCGGATCTACTACTTGCCTCTATCAGAAGAACAGGTTGCAGCAAAACTTGCAGCACGTGGAAATAACACCAGGCAGTAGGGATCAGACTATACTTTATCCCTGGCTGCTCTTTGGTTTTTTCTTCTGGGTTGATCAGTATGTTAGATAATAGAAAGTGTCACATAATTGCGTCTTTGCAGGTCTGCAGGTGTTGCTTATTGGAAGGAGCTTTTGCAGCCAAGCAGTGGGATCTGGTCTGTTCAACAACTTGGGTTTTCCAGAGTGCCCTTGGTTGAGTTCTAAGCTTCATTTAGTTTTAGAACATCGCATACTCTAACTCTCATAGAGATTGTATGGATTCACATATAGCTGTATTCTGTTTTGCCATTGAACCAGAGGTCTTCGTTAAAAAACTTACATGAACTCGATTTCATAATTTGATTAAGAGATGGTATTCCTGCTACTACTGCTTTTGGTGGATGTTATCCCCGCGCTGTCCCTGTTTGGGGGCCCCAAAAACTCCTACAAAAACTAATGTCGAGACTCATTTTCGTGAACTGAGTGCCGTTTAGCCGGTGAGTCACTTTCAAGTATCTTCTACGTTTGACCAGCCCCAGCGGATTAAATATGATTGTCATGCCATATATCATGGTTGAATCATTAAACCTATGAACTCAGTTCGAAAGGGAAAAGAAGGAGTTTTGGTGTGACGCTTTGACAAAGATGGTTTGATTAAGCAGAGGGCTTTTGTCTCTTTCTTTTCTGACTTTTCCACCCAATTTTTCTAACATTAATTCGTTGAAAAAAATATTTAAAAAATTAACAATTTTAACAAATTTTTGAGCTCAACACTTTTCTATTTTTTTAGAAGTAATATTTTTTCAACTATTTTAATAAAAAAATTTCACCCAACTTTTTCCTTTCAAAGACTTGGCAATTTGGCAATTTCCCCCCCCCAACCTTATCAACAAGCCTGCTGAGGGACTTGAAGTCAGCCTCGTTAGAATATTGGCTTCAGGTCTGGTTTTGAACCTTTTCATACCAAAATGGAAATTGTAGGGTGGGTGGAGGCTTAAACCTAATTCTCAAGTTAAAAAATATTTCTGTTAACGGAAAAAACTTAAATTGTGGAAAAAAAAAATCTTATAATAACAACCATAATTTGATTTATAATTATTGTGACTGTTAGTTATTTTCAACTTGAAATAAGTTAAGATTATAGAAAAACTTTTTTAAAGAAGTAGTTGCAATTTTTTTTCTTAACTATAAAATATTTTCATCTCACAATCTAAGTTTTTTTTTGTTTATAAAAGTATCTTTCAACTTCTAAATTAAACTTTAAAAACTTGAATTTGAGAAGATATTGTTTCTAGAAATTTTTTCTCATAAGACTGCTCTTCACCTTCAACTTTTTCCTTTCAGAGACTTGGCAATTTTCCCTCCAACCTTACAATGAAACCAAGGGTTGGCAATCACCTCAAAGTGTAGTGCCACTCTCATACCCAATTTAAATCCCAAATAAGATCGGGAATATTTTTACCCCAAACTAAAACTAACAAAATACTACTTAATAATCAACAAACCCAACTCTGTAATTTCACTGTTATTGTGATTCGTCTTCTACGTCGTCGTTTCATGCACGCTTCGTTTTCCCTCCCTTTTTTAGGGTTTATATGTCACATGCAGTCCCCTTAATTCTCTCTGCCGCTTGCTTTCGTGGGGGTTAGGAGATCTAATTTTCAATCATTTGGATATTTTACTCTTCTTTCTTTGAAGGGTTTTCTGGGTTTTTAGTTTCTTGGTGGTGGGGTTTTGGAGGTGGGATGAATAGTGTATTCAGTGAACAGATACTTGCAGACAAGCTCTCCAAGCTCAATAGCACCCAGCAGTGTATTGAAAGTATCCCTTTTTGCTTTACCTGTTGATAAAATTGTTTGCAGTTTTGCTAGACGGCTAGCAAGAATTAAGATTTTTTGGTGTTTAATGTTTATTCATCTTCCCCATTGGGTTGGCTTGAATGATGAGTTTCTGCAACCAAGTTAGGATATTTGGTATGAATTGTGTGGTTTTGAATACCTCTACTGTAAACTGCATGATAGATTTTGATTAAATACAATTATTTCATCGCCCTCCACCACTGAGCTCATGTATATCTGGATTACGGCTTCATATCTTTAAATTCCCTTCTTCCTTTTTTTTGAATTGTTCTTAGTTTTTAGCTTTTTATTCTCTTTATCTTCTTTCATTGACTGGCACTAAATTCACTTTATTTTGAATCTTTAATTTAGCATAAAGTTTTTTCCTTGACCTTCTGTTATATAGCATTGTCTCATTGGTGTATATTTCATCGGAGCAAAGCAGAACAGGTTGTTGTGATATGGGATAAACAGTTCCATAGCTCAGACATGGTTCAGAAAGTTCCTCTTTTGTACCTTGCCAATGACATTCTACAGAACAGTAAGCGCAAAGGGAATGAATTTGTTACTGAGTTCTGGAAAGTTCTTCCAGCAGCACTCAAAGATGTTTCTGAAAAAGGTGATGATCGTGGGAAGAATGTGGTTTCTAGACTGGTAATTTCCTTTCTGATTCATGCAATTGAGAAAAGCATTGGTCTTTATTTTTATATGAAATATTGGTCATTTATTTATGTTTAATGCAATACTTTGTGTTAATAGAGGTTAAGGGCATCTTTCTCAATTCATCCCTATCTGTTATCAAATAAGAATAATTGTAATCTATCATATCTTTTGTTTGGTTCTGTTTCAATATGGTAGCCAAGTACTATATACTGGATAGCTTGGCCTGGGTTTTGGTCTATTTGTGTTGACTTGGATGTTGACAACATTGGGAATAAACTCCTATGGTTGGAAATCAGGGCTTTCACTACTTATTTATCAGTTAATCATACAGCAAAATTAGCAGTGCTAAATTGCCAAGAAATTTGCTGCCAGTCTACTTTATTGCCTTTTCTTGCAAACAACTCAGTTGCTTGGTATCATATTATTTTCAAATTTTCTCTAGGAAGTTGAGGCGGCTGGTTCAAATTATCAAAAATCTTTTGTACAATGTCTGTAGGTTGGTATATGGGAAGAAAGAAGAGTATTTGGTTCCCGTGCACGGAGCTTGAAAGAAGTGATGCTGAGTGAAGAAGTGCCCCAGCCTTTGAAACTTAGTAAAAAAAGATTGCGCCCTGTCAAAATAATTAAGCGGGATTCACGATCCATTAGAACGGTGAGAAGAAGGATCTTTATTTTTGTCAAAATCTATTCACATGATTTACAAGTTGCCCCTCTTCTTCTGTCTTCATCAGTTAAATAAAATTTTATTTGATGTTATTTTGTTGCTTCTTGCACCAGAAATTGTCCATTGGGGGCTCAGCTGAAAAAATAGTGTCAGCCTTTCATTTGGTTCTCAGTGAACAGCCCAATGAAGATGAAGAGATGGATAACTGCAAATCCACAGTTAAACGTGTGAGAAAGAAGGAAAAAGATGTGGATGCTGCTTGTGCCATTGGTAAGTCAATGAGTTAAACTCTATGGGAGGCTATTAAAGCTTATGGTGGAATTTTTTTTTTTTTTTTAAAGTGCAGTTGTCTAAAGCTAACTCTTTACACTTCAGCAAAAGATCCAAAACGAAAAAATTTGGTGAAGGAGCTAGAAGAGGAAGAAAATCTTCTGAAACATTGCATAGACAAACTTAAATCAGCTGAAGCAAGCAGAGTAGCACTTGTATCACAATTGAAGGAAGCTCTACATGAACAGGTAAACTGCATGTTCCATAACTTTCCTTATTTTAAGAAGCCTCTACCAGTTCACCTGGGACAAACAATTAAGCATTAGTTAACAAGCCATCAAGTTTTTAATTCATTCTTTGTAAAATTCTGTCAGGAATCTGAACTGGAGAATGTTCGAACTCAGATGCAGGTATGTTATTGTAATTTATAACTGAATATGTTGGATAATTGCTCTATTCTTCTAATTTCAAAATGCATCCATAAAAAGGGCCATGCAGTTAAGAATCTTATGGTGTAGTTATCTAATGCTGTTTGTTCTTTTTGTTTTAGGAATACTTTCATTACTTTAGGTAGAAAGAATACTGTTGTGTTGCATAAACAATTCTGTCTTCTGGGATGATGTTTTAGAATCTTGTGTCATGCTTCGGAACAACCTGGTCTTTAACTTTAATGAGGAGATTTTAATTATGGAATATGAAAACTTTAACCAAAGTTAAGGAGTTTTATGGCCCATGTGCTATCATTTCAAAATTTTCACTCACTTGAATCATTGTTCAGTCATGTTCAAAGGTGAATAATGTCACTTTGTTTTCAAGTTTTCTGACCAGGCATTTTCAGTTGTCATATGGTGGTGCATGAGCATTCCTCTAGTTTATACGAAGATTGCTTAAGATGAAGTTAGAGGTTGTGATATTCAGGATATATAAGTAGTGTGCTATGATGTGCCTTAATCTTTGTTTATACCATTGGCTGCAGATCTTGTTTTAGTTAGAAGTAATTCTACAGCCCACTTTGAATCTGCTATGTTCTAGGCAGGATTCTCCAATTATTTTAATCTTTATCTTTCTTCTATTTTAGGTAGCAGAGGCACAGGCAGAGGAAGCCAGCAACATGCGGAGGCGACTTAGTGATGAAGACTATGTTGCAAAACCATTGTCTACAACTTCAGCCACTGATACAGATGCAAAAGCTGGACAAACACCCAGAAGAACAGCTGCAGCCATTGCAGCTGAGGTTGCAGACAAGCTTGCAGCTTCAAGTTCCTCCCAAATGATCATGCATTCGGTTCTCTCAACATTTGCAGCTGAAGAAGCAAAGAATGCTGGTCTATCAAAGACTTCCGTGCACCCAAATTCAGTCGTTGATTCCATTTCAAAATCTGAACCGCCAATAGCAGCTTCAGATCCTAATTTTTTTATGTCAGCACAACCACTTACGCCTCCAGTTAACCACTCTTATCAATCAGCTCTTGTACCCCAGCCAGCCATGCAAAACCAAGCTACAACCTCACAAGCTCAATATAACATCATTCCTCCATCACAACAGTATTTACAGGCAACTGGGGGGATCGTGGCATATAGTGGTTATGGTAATGTGCCACCCTTGCCTCCAGGACCACCACTCCCTCTGCCAGCACCACCACCACCTCTCCATATGGTTAGTCCAATGGTACCCTTGACGCAACAACCAATGCCATTGGCTCAGTGGCAACCAC